GCGACGACGAAAAGTTATTTTGATACATATAATTATCCAGCACCCTAAGCCAAACAGACAAAATGTTCTTGTAAAGATGTGTATTGGCTTCTATGGTTTTAGATGGCTTGCAACCGGTAAAATACTTTTCTGGCTGAGAAATTTGGCAAAAGCATTCGGCATTTTCTGTCCACAAATTCCTTTTCGTACGAGAGGCTTATCAATTTTGCGGAGGAATTTTTCCGGCGCCTCGCGAATCAATTTTCAGTAGGTTTGCATAATTCCAGATGCTTGCCTACGTTGTCAGTCGGAGAGCAAGCACGAGGCGTGTGTGGTGGTTTGGGGCGAATGTAATCACTCGTTTCATAACTGCTGCATGGCACTGTGGGTGAAACAGAACAATCGATGTCCCCTCTGTCAAAAGGTACTTTCTTACACACTTCAAAAATTAGTTCTGTAAAAACTCTAATAATTGGCCAACGCACGGGCTGCCCGTGCGCAGATGCGTTTTTTGCATAGTTCTCCGCAGTTTTTGTTGTTTCCGGCACCAGCTTTTCCGGCAAATGCTTCTAGCTAAACAAATTAAGACTGGCCGCCAGAACTGTCAGGAAACACCCGCTTAAAATTTCAGCTTTCTAGCGTCCCTGGCTAGTGAGTTAGCAACTTACTGGGAAAAATTTCTACGGGCCCGTGCGTGTTTATCACGCATACCCGAGAGTTGGGTTTGAGCTGAATGAAACTTAAGTGGACGGGGTATATCCTCTTAAAATTTCAGCTTCCTGGCTTCTTAGATCCCCGAGTTATGAACTTATCCAAAAAAAATTTTGGCGAACCCGTACACGGGTACCATGCTTACCCGAGGGCTGAGTTTGAGCTCATTAATACCCACTTGAACGTGGAACATCTCCCTAAGATTTCAGCTTTCCGGCTCATCAAATCCCCGAGTTATGAACTTACCCGAAAAAAACTTTGGCGGGCTCGTCCGCGGATACCACGCTTACGAGGAGGTTGGGTTTGAGTTCATTAGTACCTACTTGGACGGGGAACATTCCCTTAAAATCTCAGCTTTCTAGCGTCTTAGATCCCCGAGTTATGAACTTACCCGGGAAAAATTTTGGCGGGCTCACGTGCGGGTACCACGCGAGTAATGGCGCCCATTTTTGGGATTAGGGCCCGTACGTGCATATAGTTTAAGTTTCCAGAGTTTCAGCCTGTAGCTTTTGTAGGTCTTGAGATGAAAAACCGTGACAGACGCACACACGGACACACAGACAGCCC